ACTTGCTTATTTTCTAGACATGCCTCTGGAGGCCCACATCCGCCACTTAAGTGACTTCTTGATTTCTCTCCCTTTCCTTGATTTCTCCCTTCTATTTTTTTCGGTTTTTTTTCTATTTTCCATTTCTTTACCTGTTATTTACCTGTTATTTTCCCCTTCCCCTCCTATTATCTCCCATCTCCCCCACTTTGCCTCGTGCCCTTCTAATCTAGGCACACAGTGCAGAATTTCACTGCATAGGTCTAGCGCGGCCCCAGGGCCGCCCCTCCTCTCTTTCTCCATTCTATAACTTTCTCTCTATAATCTGTCCGTCTATGTGATTTGCTTTATTATCATGCTTTCAAATGGTGGTCGGGAAGACAGAGAGTTGCGCTTCTGATTTGCTATTTATCACTTTGTTTTTGCAGACTTGATGAGCGATCAGACACCTCGAGGCTACAGGCCTCTTGCGCCTCGTACCAGGCTACTCGGTGGAGCAGGAGGAGACGGAGGGGAGGGAGCGGGGAGTCCTGCTGCGGGTGCACCAGAAGAAAAGCGCATGAGGCGAGCATCGACAGCTTGTACAGAGTGTCAAAAACGCCGGACCAGGGTACGCACTCATTGCGCTTCCTATTTTCTTTCCTGATTTTCCTATCTCTCCCCTTGCTTCACCTAATCCGTACTTCAATCAATCTGACATGCTCTTTCTTCTATCTTGTTAGTGTACCGGCCCTCCTCATTGTACCGAATGCTCAACCCACGCCCGCGAATGTGTCTTCGACGAAGCCGCCGACAGACGCCGCAAAGCCTCCGCTAAGAGAATCCAGGATCAATTGGACCATTTCCGGTCATTTGTGGACGATCTCATCGGCCTCATCCGAGATAGTGATGGTCCGACGGTGCAATTAATCGTCAATACCATACGATCGGGAGCCACCCCTGCAGAGATTCGAGATATCCTCAACCGTATTTTGGAAGATGATAATCAATCCGATTCCCGCAATTCAGGCAACCGCGACTCAAACCTGAAGCTGAACATTATCCCCAACAATAACATGGGCAATTACTTCAACCCCCCTTCGCTCAATTAGCCCTAACATCTCCTCGGGCAATATACGCATCTCTGGACGGACATGTGCCAGAGTCACCCCCATCTTTTTCTAAGATCCTCCCCAAATCTTCTCGATCCCAGATCCTCGAACGACCAAACGAACCTGCCTCTTTCATAGCGTTTCCCTTCATAGCTGTTCGTGACGCGTTTCTTTTGGAACATGGGACAAACCGTCACGTCCCTGGTTCTAGCTGTGTGACCAGCTCCATATTTTATGTTTATTGCCATATCTCGAGACAGATTGAGATCGCAAAGAAACCAGACTGTTCCTATTCTCTTCCCCGAGCCCTAGCATTCTATTTTCTTTTTCTGTTGCGAATATTCTTTGTCTTCCCAAAACCAGGGGCTTTAGAAGCTTGCAAAATCGCGGACAGTCCCGATCTACCTTGACAGAAGTGAATATACCCAGAGATACCCAGTTCTAGCTTTTCACGTTCAGACTTTGTTTCTCGGGAGTTACACGCTGGGGGTGTTTGTGGATACGGAGTGACCTTTTTCTTTTGATATTGGACTTTCGCATCATACAGTCGAGCTCCTGGCAGATATTCTGCCAACAGCATCCTGCAGTGAATACCCATGGATCCTTCTTAGCCTAGGGCTATCATCCTCTTTCGACAGAGTTATGACTCAACTTCATTTCGGTCACCGAACCCATACTATTTGCTTCTTTGGTCTATGATGCGCACCAGTTGTCTCGTGCAAATCGAGGCTCTCACTGTCAATGTCAACCACTTGCATCCCAGGATGACATTGGATACCCTTAGTCACACTCAGTCATATGGGCAGTCAATCACACATTCTTGGCATGCCCTTCTGCCGACTTCTATCCCATAGACATGACGCCAGTATCAGTTGTGCCTTTCCAACCAGCTAACATGGTATACGAACCTATGATAAAATTGCTTATTGGGGTTTTACATAAAATTTTCTTTTAATTTGTAGCTACATAGAGCAAATGAGCGATTTCGTTAGATGTCTATCGACTGTCATCTTCAGTGAACAGCCCTTTACCCGGTGAAAGCCCGATCATAAGGAGATGATCTTCCCTGATCTTTCCTTAATAACCGTAGGTTGTGTAGTTTACCCGATGTCCGTACTTTCAATATACAAAATCCGGGGATGTGGAGGCATCCCCGCGCCGACCGGAGACTTGCCGAGATCCTGTGCTTTTCCCAATTTCCCCCTCTTCCGGATACTTCTCCTCTCTAGCTACCTCTAAGCCATCTCTTTTCAATATTCTCCGGGAATTAATTCCCTGGCTTGGCCTGTCTTGCCGATCTCGATATGACAACCACTAGCGTTGCCATGCACGCCTCTCGGCCCGCAAGCAAACTAAATGAAACAACTTCAACAGAATTGCCCGCGTCTAACAAGAGGAAAGCATCCGATACATTAAAAGATGGTGCTGCACACCGCCAGAAAATCACCAGAGCTTGTGACTCGTGCAAGGTAAAGAAAACCCGATGCACTGGTACTTTACCATGTACAAGATGCGCACGACTGTCACTGCCATGCAGATATAACGCCGCATACTCTCGGGGGCTACCACCAGACCCTCTTCCTGCATCACCGAGTCCATTTAGTCCACTTTCAACCCCGGCTGCGCGTCGTGCATTTGGGAATGTGGATGGGCGCACATCCAGCCCCAATCTACAGGCCAATGGTCGGGACTCGACTGTGACTGGCAATTTACTTTCAACCCAAACCCAAAATCAGCATGTGTCATCGCGGATCTCACCAGAGCCAGGGTCAACGGATTTTGAGGGTAATTATCTCGGTCCTTCGTCTGGTGTGTCGTTTATCAATCGTGTATGGAGCCGTCTCCATCAAGATGAAAGGACGCACTATCCGGATGAACTCCAAAATGAGTCCTCGCGGAATACGGCTGTCTTTATGTTCGGCGATAAACCTTATTCCAACTACCAAGAGGCAGAGTTTACCCTCCCATCCCTGGAAAAGGCGTTGGAGCTGGTGGGAATTTACTTCGATTACTCTATGGTGACTTATCGGTTTGTGCATAGGGGCAATGTGGAAGAGTGGACTAGACAGGTTTACCAAAATAACATCGGCCTCTCAAATCTCCCTGTAGGCAATATGGTTGCTCGGACTGCTATCGTTCTCGTGATTATTGCCGTGAGTACGTTGTCCCTGGAAATGAGGCCCGGAGGAATTGCTGGTGGGCAGGGTGAAAGGTTAGAAAGGTCAGTACCTAATCTCTCGATGCCGTCAGAAAAGGAGCCTAACTGAGAAATTCACAGTGAGCGCTGGTATGCAGCTTCGAAATACATGTCTTCTCTCGAGTCAGGGCCACCGCGACTGGAAACCATCCAAGCCCGGTTGGGCCAATGCCTATATTTGCTGTCATCGTCACGGGCCAACGAATGCTGGTACTCATTTGGCACGACAATGCAAATTGTGACTGCACTCGGATTACACAGGAAGTTGCCAGCCAAAGTCTCGAGTAACGGGTGCTCGTATCTAGAATTGGAGCTCCGCAAGCGCATTTTCTGGAGTGTATACACTCTAGACAAATATCTAAGCATTATGTTCGGAAGACCTCGACTGCTCCACGATGAGGACATCGACCAAGAACTACCGGACGAGGCGAATGACGAAGACTTACTGGAAGAAGATCCGACGCGGAGAACAGGATCCACGGACAGCATGATGATTGCCTCTGTTCTTCATTACCGGTGAGTCTCTCATACCTACCCTGTACGTACAGTCATAGAGCACCTGGGCAGCTAACACCAACCTAGACTCGGCCGCATCCTGGGCGATATATCCCGTCAACTATACAGCATAAATACCCTCTCTCGAGACTCCCCCCTCGAGACCGCAATCGGCCTAACCTCCGAACTCGAAAAGTGGAAAGAAACTGCCCCACCGCTATTCAACAGTGTCCACCCAACGAGTTTAATCCCACCCCTCTGCCGCCAAAGCCAAGTCCTACAACTCGCCTACTCGCACGCCATGATCCACGTCACTCGCTCATTTCTCTTGAACGATTTCACAGACCTCAGCCGCAGACCGAAAGTCCCGCACCCGATGGTCAGCTCGCACGTCCAGAAATGTATACAGGCTGCCGAGAGCATCATGACCATAACCGATGGTCTCGCGCATCAGGGTGTGCTGATCCAGTCCTTCTGGTTCACGCACTATGTGTGCTTCTGTGCTGTTTTGGTCGTTTACATCCATACCATCCAACAGCACCGTAAATCACTAGGAGGATCTAGCTCGGCCTCCGTCTCTTCAGTCGGGAGTCCCAATGACCCGGATAAATTGCGCCAGCTCTTTTCTCTCGCTGAATCTTGTCAGCAACATCTTGCTGAAGCCACGCGTAAGAACTGTCCGAGTCGTCGCTACGGGATTATTCTGGAGGAGTTGAGACAGGAGGTCCATCGGCAGATTGGGTCTAGTGGGCTCTCTGTTGAACCTCGGACTCATTCTTCTAGTGGAAAGGATACTCTCTATTCCTCGGGAGAGGGCTCGCAGAATGCGGATGTAAAATCGGTCCTTTTTGATGCTCAGGCGGTTGATTTCATGATGCGACCAGCCGATTTGGGGATGAATACGGGTGACGATACAGGCTTCCTTGAGAGCCTCGAGGGATCGATCTGGTGGGCTCAACTTGACTCATGGGTATGTATTGTGCTTTTCATGACGAGTACGACTACGGAATATCTCTCGTCAATACAAAACTTGCGTTAACACTTTGTTCTAGGCCTTTTCCAATCTCCCTAATGATCCTTCTACGTTTAACTTTTAACCCCAACAAGGATGGATGTAGCTTACGAGCCGTAAAGCCAAAATCGCGTTCAATTGCAAATATCCCGCTACAGTTCATATCGCATTCTGGCCATTCTTCCCTCAACACGCTATCCGGTCACAGGTATTGATTCAAAGTCGCTCAAATCTGCATGAGACCACCGCGGTGAATGTCCTCCAAGTAGTCATCGAACCTCGCAGACACCTCAATCACATCCTTGAGGTGATCATACGTGAGGACCTCCCTTTTCCACTTCGCGTACTGACGAGCAGTCGTAACGGCATTCCGAATTTGCCGACCATTCAGTTTCACCTTCTGAAGCACATCCAAGCTCCCCATAAGATTTTCAACATCAACAGCATATTCATCAAATCCATCCAGCCGCTTGATGAAACTTCTCCAGATTATTCGTCTCTGCTCCTCGCCAAGGGGTGGATAGTGCAGTGCCAGCTGGATACGCGACTTGAACGCTTCGTCGAAGGTACCCACCCGGTTGGTGGTCAAGATCAGGATTCCCTCGAAATACTCCACCACGCGGAGGAACGCCGATACGAGCGCATTCCGGTTCAGATCTTCCAGACCGCGCTGCTCGAGGAAAACATCTGCTTCATCTAGCAGGACTACGCAGTTCCAGATCTTGCCCAGGTGTAGCACGGACTCGAGGTACTTCTCCACCTCCTCTGGCTTGATGCCGACGTCGCCGCATGTAACTCGATAGAGAGGCCTCTCTGCTATTTCAGCCACACTCTCTGCAGTCAGTGTTTTGCCTGTTCCTGGCCCGCCGTGCAGAAGCAAGATAAGTCCGTTTCCTTTGCCGGCGATCAGATCGGCAGAGTATTCAGGCTCGACGTGATTGGTCACCAGTGCTTCGATAAGGTCTCTGGATTTAGAGTCGATGGCTAGACTCTCGAAGGCGTCTTTGTTCCACTCGACCTGCGAGACGTGGTCGACTGAGAGATCGAACCATTTCTTACGCCGGAGGTTGAAGCCAGTCACCCTCGGAGGCATCAACATGCCGAAAGGCTCTTGTGGGGGTTGCTCTCTGGCCATGACTCGTTCATCCAGTGTCTTTCTGTGTGGGTCAGGATCCAAATACCCGGTCGAGTCTGGATGCAGTCTTTTGTATGTCTTCATGTCGATGATGTATCGGTCGTCGGCCTAGTAGCAATGGTTAGTTCTGCTCGTCATTGCGGGTTGATAATAAACACATACCATGGTTTGGAAATTCTCTTCCTCGGTCGCCTGATATGACACGTACTTCTGTGTGCGGAATGTCCAGAAAATCTCCCCACGGCGCTGAAGCTTCCGGAAAAGATCATCAGGGGCATACTTGATTGGGTATACCGCAAGGTCCGTGATAGAACATTCCGCGTCTGAGTCACTGTGGTGTAGACGGCTAGAATCATCCGACAAATTATCCGCTTCAAGCGACGGTGGCATCTCCCTGGCATGCTGTGACTTTGGCATCTCAAAACTGAGCCTAGTCTTAGATTCATAGAAGTCACCATCGAATTCCCAGGTCTGGACACTGATCCACCAACAAGGATTGCTGCCACGGATGTCTACGCTTCGAGATGGCCAGTCCCTAGCTAGATAACCGATATGCTCCTTGTTTTGGTTCGAAACCAGGACTTGATTTGGTTTGAACAGGTATTGAACGTACTCCGGGCGAATTTTGTCTTGCTCCAAAAGCATGTCTACTGCAGCGTAGTCATTGCCGCAAGCCTCTTGAACATAGTCCATGAAGAGGTCAAATTGTCTTGTCGCCTCAGAGCTCAGCCATCGTTTCATCTCCAATTCTCTAGCACCCCGGTTGTGGTAGACGAAGAGATAAGGCGACTGGACCTCTCCCGTCTCCCGGTAGTCGCCATACATGGACCGAAACTCTTTGCCTCTGAGGAAACCTGCGATCACGTCTTTGAGATCTTCGGAAACTGGAAAAATAGTCTCGCTGAATGGTTCTGGCTTGCCATACTTTTGTTTCGGTGACTGCGGCTCGGACCTTCTTTTGTAGTTCCGGAAAACTACAAACGATATGTCTCTGTTGAGAGCGAGGTACAGCTCGAAGTTGGTCAACGGATCATTGCAGCGCAGATATGGTGCTCCCATGTTTCGATGGATGAGCTCAGGGGGGTCGGAATAAATCCCCATCCATGGAGAGCTGGGCCTAGCCCCGGGTTGCCTGGGCCTGGGGATGAATTCATCATCGCTATCGTCCATGCCGTGATTATCACTTGGATAGGTGCCGTCTTTCTCGATTCGATAAAGGATCTGATACTTTGAGGCTGTGGGTAGGGCAGGTTTTCCTTCCAGCTCCCGGACCTTGTCTCGAAGAGCTGCGATTTGAGCTTTGAGGTCATTGGCTTCTGATAGAGACACACTTCCTTGGCTGGGGGGAGTGTACATGTCTGAGTGAACAGTGTTCAAGTCCTGCGGATTCATATCGTATGAGTTCACAAACTGTGGACTCGAAATCCGTTGCATTCTGTAAGTGGCATCGATATGGGCTTGGGGATACACTGGGCTTCGGGGATATTGATAAGCAACAGAACGACCCGGCGTTAAAGGGCCAGGCATGTTTTGGTTACTGACTACCGATGGCCCGAAAGGACGGACAGGGATGTTAGGATCGAGTGGCCTTTGGTATCCACTGGCCTGTGACGCAGCCATCGCGGCGTTTCGTCGGGCGACGTTCTGCTGTTCTAACAGCATCAGGTTGAATGAGTAATCTTGGTTGTTTTGATTTTCTTCCTTCGTTCTGGCATTCGGAATGTAAGATGTACCATCAAGAGGGGGAGGAGGAGGTCGCCCTCCGAGCGAAGCAGGAATCGGCTGCTCTTGTGAAGCGTCTTTACTACTCAAATCTTTGGTCGTGTACAGCTCGTCACGAGGGCGAGCTGGGTTTGAATGAGGATACATGTCCACAGATGACAGAGATGCTTCTCAGGGTAAATCAAATGGACCGTTCTACTGTCCAGAGGAAGTGGGAAAGAGACAATAAATAGGCAAAAATAGGCAAAAAATAGTGGGATACGAGATTCTGATTCCAACCACCCCCGCGTCTTGAGCCTCTTTGGATTGTCATATGGTGTGGCTGTGCGCATATATGTTCATGCTATGTTGATATGCTTTCATGCATTAATACCTGTCCTGTGAATGCTGATGTCTTCCAGATCTCCATATCCATTCAGGTCCCGGGTCATACAGAAAGTTGGGTGGTGCTTACCCTCTTACGCGGTTGCCAGCCCTAACAACATGGGGACTTCACTACAATCACCTAAGCTTCATGTTTCATGCTTCATGCATCTACTCCAATATATTGTTAAGATCCACGAATGTTTCATTCAACTTTCATTGGCTCTGGGAGGCAAACATGACCTCCAGTAAGAAAGATGCAAATCGACGAAGTCTTTTCAATCTCTTGATCCCAACTAAAATCGTCGTCTCTGGAAAGCCAGAAAGATCCCCAACTGACTCCGGAGCAACAGAAAGCCCGGCATCAGAGCCAATTATCACAGTGCGAAAATATCGGCTTAGGGCTCGTGCTCGTTTGACCCGCAGTGGCTCCAAGATTCTACTATTGCTGGGCTTGCGTGGTTCATCCAAGAGTGAGTTGTGGTGTCTTTCATGTTTATATCAGACCGTCCACTGATTTTCCGTCGCAGGTAACAAGGGATTTAGCGTCGACAGTGATTGCTGTGATTCCGTGCAGGCCGGCGACGAAAGCCCAGATGTCTCGAACCCATCCTCCCCAAGTGGTAATGGCAATGATAACCCAGGATATCTGATTGCAGCCGAGTCCCCACGAAGCGAACCGCTACCTACCACTCCTTCACTCAGCATCCCTACCGAAGGGATCGAGACTTGTTCTGAGCCACTTCCCGACCTACGACCCTCACCCGAGAGTCAGGGTGAATTGGCTGTTGTCGATGATGCGCAGCAACATGCCACAGGTGCTGACCCTCTGCCAACTACTGTCATTGAGCAGCCGAGTCCATCAAATTCAAAATTTGTCGATCGCTTCTCGCATAAGATCTCGCTTGCGTTCGGTCAGCCCACTGTCATCCGCCGTGTGCATCTTCGGTCCAGACCGAGTATTCTTCCCGTCAGTTCTCCAGTATTTGACGATCTCGGCAAGCAAAGTGATGGCGCCAATGATAGCTCAAGCCCGTCAACCAGCCCCAGTAGTGGTGGGTCTCCTGCTCGCGGTCAGTCAACCTCACAGACTCCGCTCACGTCTGCGGGGCCGTCTCCTTCCTCGGATAAAGGCAAACTGCACGATGGACACGAAAGTGCCGTGGTGCATTGGCCCTCTCTCTCCGAAATTAATGAAGCTGCCAGCGCTACAGACGCAAATGTAATCACAATATCGCCGTCAATCAAAACCGTGGAAGCGACATCAGTGGCAAAAGTTTACTTGGAACTATACTTCAACTCCATTTTCCAAAACAAAGATTCCCGCCAGCAACGTCAGCTCGAGTTGGAGCAGCATATCTATGCATTTGAGCTCACACCCGAGGAGCGGTTGATGACAAGACACAACTGGGTCTTGCGAGAGAACGATTATCTTCGACAGTGCCGTGTGCTCAAATCGAACAGACACTGCAATCAAACAGAAAGCGCCATCTCTGTCGCAGGGTACAAACCTATAAAGGTACTGGGGAAAGGAAGCTTTGGTGTTGTGCGTCTTGTTCGACCGAGTGGCTGTGATTCGAGGAGTTCCCATGAAGATGACCCTCTTACCCTCAGAGACAACAATGCCCAACCTAGATCGAATCCTCTTGGAGCTCTGATGTCTGCCGTGGAAGGTGCTAGACAAAGCCGTCGAAGGTATATGACCGGTGAAAAGAAGGAAGTATATGCCATGAAAGTTATCAGAAAGGCAGAGATGATCCGCAACTCCCAGGAAGGCCATATTCGAGCGGAAAGAGATTTCCTGGTTGCCTCTGAGAGCTCTCGCTGGGTTGTTCCTTTGATCGCCAGCTTCCAAGATGCCAACAATCTATATCTTGTGATGGATTACATGGTTGGTGGTGACTTTTTGGGGCTACTGATCCGCAAAGATACACTTCGCGAGGACTGGGCGCGATTTTACGTCGCCGAAATGATATTGTGCATTGAGGAGGCACATCGACTTCGCTGGATTCATCGCGATGTCAAGCCTGACAACTTCCTCATCTCTGCGTCGGGCCATTTGAAGATTTCCGACTTCGGTCTGGCTTTTAATGGGCATTGGTCGCATGATCAAGCTTATTATAACAGCCATCGCTACTCCTTGCTGGAGAAACTTGGCATCGATGTCAAGGGCGATTCGGAAGATCAGAAGCTGGCTGCCGAAGCTAAAGAGCTCGCGCCTGATATCAAATTGCACAGTCTGGATGACCATACCCTTCATCAACCATCCTCAACAAGTTTGTTGGATTGGCGAGACAACAAGGGGCGACGCAGGTTCGCAAAGAGTGTTGTTGGAACCAGTCAATACATGGCACCTGAGGTCGTTCGCGGTGAAATGTACGATGGACGATGCGACTGGTGGAGCTTGGGTATTATTCTATACGAGGTAGGTCGCTTGACATTCCCGTATTGCGTGTATCAAAGTCTCATAGCGTTTCCAGTGTCTATATGGTTTTACACCCTTTGCCTGTGAAAATCGACACGATACAAAGATCAGGATCCTCGTGAGTACCTTCTTTGTTCCCCTGTCCCTGTGAACATTTTATTCTAAAAGATTCTCAAGCAACACACAAGAACTCTGCGATTTCCCCGGGAAAAACCCACGGACAAGTTAGTCTCTCAGGAGGCCATGGATCTGATTACCAGGATTCTCCAAGAGCGCGAATATCGCCTGTGCTCTCCAAAGTACCAAGCCAATGATATACTGAATGGACGCCCTGTCTCAACCCAAATGCTCTACTCCATGGATGCGCGGTACAGAAATATCGCCAGTTATTACGTATACCCCAACGATGCAGCAGACATCAAGATTCATCCGTTCTTCCGAGGTATCCGATGGCAAGATCTCCATATGTGCCAACCACCGATGATCCCTAGGGTCAGGAACTGGGAGGATACTAGATATTTTGACGACTGGAAGTTGGCCAGCAATGATGTCGAGCATGCTGTTAGTAGTGGCTCAGGGGATCCTGACCAAGAGCCTGACGCGAACGCCGCCCCCGGAAAGCAAGAAATGAGTCCGGCGAAGGGTGTCTCTGAGCCGCCAGTTGCTGAGACTACCCCGCGCGCACCACAGGAACAGGTGAAAGATGCTGAAAAGAAAAAGGAGAAGAAGCGGCCCCGCGATAAAATCCTTCGAGACAAAGAGATGAGCAAGACAGTCTTGGACATTCGCAAGAAGGGCGCTTTTCTAGGGTATACATACCGGCGACCCAGTGACGTTGCTTTGGCTTTCAGCACAGAGCGAGGGCGTCAACCGTATACCAGAGGCCAATTGGCCGGCCTATATGTACCGTGACTATACAAAGCAAAGGGAATGGGGAGTTGACGCCCTACTCGACTTGGAACAAACCTGTTGGCTATTGTTACATTTCCTTTCTGTCGACCAACCACCGTCCTTCCACCCGGTCGAACGTATCTATATAACCCTCTTTTCATCTTGTATAGAGCCTCATTCCCTCACAGGTGACTATTCACCCTCCTTGAACTACAGCCTTCACCCTACCACCCCTTATGTATCCTTAGGAAAGAATATATAATTATAGACAGAAGATGCTAGCCTACTCCGACAAAAAGTATCGTCATCAGATTGAATACATCCTATTTCCTATGATACTCCATCGAATATGAGTGAAGTAAACACCCAAAAGGAAACAACGCGGGGAAATTCATACACAAAGCAAGGGAAAGTGGCTATGTATGGTCTCAAATCACATCTGGTGGGCAGGAAACCGGGGTATCGGAGAGCAAATTCGAGACAGAGAATCTTATAAGGGGTATCAAGTTCGGAGTAGACGGATATAAGGGGGGAATGATTAAAGGGATAGAAGCGTAAGCCGGCAAAGAAAAAGCGAACTGAGTTCACAGAACTGGGGCGCTCATGGAGAAAGCCGAATCCGTGACACGATCCTCGGGCTTCATAGTACCATTGAGCAGTGGACAGAGCTTCTTGTTTGTCTTGATGTGCCCAACCTGACCGCAGTTGGCACATTTGCGCTGGGTACCAGCAGGCTTGCCGTCCGGATCGCCGGAACGAGGGATGCCCTTTTGCTTCTCGCGGGCGAAACGACGCTCCTTGTTGCGGTTGAGACGGCCGAGCTCGGCCTCGATCAACTTCTTGTTGCGGGCATCGAGATCTGCATCGCCCGTGGGTTGGAGAAGCTCCAGTTTTGTGTTCATGGCTTCGTCGGCGTGACGCTGTTGGATGTAGTGCCTGATCACTCGGGGATCGAAAACATGTTGTTCCTGCTGCACGATTTCGCCGTTTGCCTGCTTGACCTGGCGGGTGATACGCAAAACTTTGCCGCGCTGGCTGTTGAAACTCATTTTGCTGAACTGACTTGTCGTCTCATCGTCACGACGATATGGCCCAGGTGTCTGTGCTTCAGATCGGGGTGTTGGTTTGTTGAATTGATCCTGGTATTCGTCTTCTTGGTCGACGTCGCTTTCCTGGTCGGAATGCTCAATGGTGGAAGACAAGCTGCTTTTTTGAGCATCCCAAATCCGACGAATAGATGTTTCGTATGACTTTTGCTGGCGGGCAACATTGTAACTGTGACCTCCAAGTTCCTTGAGTCGCTGCGCGTCCAGCTTATCCTCAACACTTTCACCGATGGCCTTGAACCCACCCTTCATGCTTGTTTTGATGAAGTTATAGCCCTCACCACGGCCGGTGGGGTCTCCTTCACCATGGAGTTTCAGCATAGCCTTGCCTTGAGAGGCCAACAAAAAGTTGCGAGTTGCCT